TTTGATTCTTAACTGAGGACAGATGTAGATATCTATGGGCTACAGCATCCACTTACCGTCAGGTGGACTGTGTGCTCGTTTACCGCCCTTATTATATACAAAAGTTATATTTGCGTCTGTGTTGACACCAACCACGTACGGTGTCTGTAGATGTGAACGAAGCTTAAGGGTTCTTCGGACGTCGGGCGCCGGCCACGCCCGCCTCAGCTCAACGCTAATTATAATAGTTTCTCCGCGTCCAGATTTAGTAATCTATAGTCCAGATGCAATCTACGCAATTAACCCCGTAACGTGCAACAGCGGCCCGCCTAGCCTCATGTGTAAAGAGCGTGCAGCTAATTTGAGGCCAAAAGGTGGTAGGAATTAAAATGTATGTATAAAGATTTTATCACAGTATGTTTATGTACAGTACATTACCTACGTGTGTACAGAATGTGGTGTGGTACGCGACTAGGGTGGGACTACGCTCTAACAGAATAGGATCTTAATGCTGCTGTTGTGTATCGTATGGTGGGTGTAGAGAACCGGAGATCGTTTTTACTTGAAAAGAGGCATTCCATCTTAGTCCTCACGGGTGACAACGCATCTGCATTTTGATTCTTTATTGAGGATAGATATAGATGTGCTCGTTTGTCACCCTTATTCCATAAAAAGGAAACCCCGGACCCTATAGATGATGCTAAAGGCGCCGTATTAATACATTATTATTATGAATAAATTACACTGTAAAAAGTCCGGAGTGAATAATTCTCAGTGGACCCTAATCGAGCCACCTACCGGAAAGGGCAGAACAACGTCTGCAGAGCCTGCCAGTGTTTCTTTGTAACAGTTTCATACTAAGTAATTACAATAAAAACAAACTTGACGAGTGGCAGTTATTAATAAATTTATGACGTTCTTGTCCTTGAAGCCGGTTGCTAAGTAAAAGTTAACAATATTACTAAATCATTGTAAAAAAATTGTATAAGCTTCTTCGCTCATCTAATGCACATAATTATTTTCCTCTCTCATTGCAAAAATATCACCGTAACCAGCAGAATAGAATAGAATTTTTTTTTCAATATAGGTACCTAGATTACATGTGATTCTTGTTGAAAGTAGTTTTTTCACTTTTTTATAGGATAAGGGTGACAAGCGTGCACACAGTTCACCTGATGGTAAGTGGTTGCTGTGGCCCATAGACGTTTGATAGAAGTTTGCGAGTAAGATGCAGATACGTAGTCAGCCGTGAGGACTAGATGGAATGCCTCTTTTCCAGTAAAAAGGTATCCAGCTCTCTACACTCACCATACGAAACACAGCAGCATCAAGCTGCTATTTTACGCTGGTATTCTGTGAGAACGTGGTCCTTGTCCGGTCGAGCCAACCTACATACAATTTTTATCAATATGGAATAAATCCAGGGAAGTATTGTGATAATATTTCATATATAGAGCAAAATGCTTTTATTTAGGCAGTAAATGATTGTGTTTCAGGAAAAGATGCGGGCTACAGCATATTTCAAGTCAATATGAAGCTATGTAATATAAAGACTTTTGAATGCTGTAGAGATATGTTTAGACTTTTAATGAATATCTCCCGCTCCGCTACATTCACAGCCGGATTTACTACAGTGTCAAAATTGTACCGGCGTTAGGCTGTTTAAAGGTAAAAGGGGATTAAATATACATATTAAATGATGCCATAGTAAAAGTAGCTTTACAGCTTACCGTAGAAATTCATAACTTTATTAGTAATTCCTCTAATGACACAAGTTTTTCCCTTTTTTTGGAGCAAAGAGCAATGGCAGAAAATAGTTGACAAAAATTATAGCGTCTAGAAATAAGTTATATATAAAATGAGTTTTATTATTTTTCTATGATTTTTCAAATAAAATGTATTTTAATTAAAGCCACAGAAAAAAACAAACGTTTTTGGGAATATCAAATGACTTATATCATTTTACTCTATTCAAATGTTGCCATTCAGTATATTCATACTATTTTCATATACACTTTGTAACACTACCAACACAACACAGAAAATATTTTTATATTAAGTTATTATTAGTAATAACTGTACTATCAGTAATAACATAAAGAAAAGTGATATGGCTGAGAATAAGTATCTTACAAAGAATTTCCTACAATAATACATTATCTCAATCATAGTACTATGTAACAATTCCATTTAATGTTATGCCAACACTTGCTAAAATAAAATGTCACTGTTTTTTTTACTGGCTTTAAGGCTCTAGGTTCTAGCCCTTCTGAGAATGTCACTGTGGTACAAAAGCCCTGGAGCCATGCCAGAAATATACATTTATAGTATGCAAATATATAATAGAGATACAATAATCTAAAAACTCTCAATTATGTATTATGTATTAAGCTAACATCAAACAACCACAGGAAACATGACTTTTTCCAAGTGACGTAGGACATAACCTAAAAAGGTTCAAATGTAAATATCTTTTTTTTGACGCCTTCTCAGTACAAAGTTCTTTGACAGAGTTATTAAGGGACTGACGCTTAACATTTTAAGATATTTTTGGTATATAGACGCTACCATTTCTTCTCAACTTATTTTATGTATGAAAGTCTGCCATTGCTCTTTACAATTATCATCGTAATGTACCAGTGGTTAAAAGAATTCCTAGAGGTGCGAGGATGCAGCTTGCTAAAGCATTGTCGTGCACTATTCAAAATTGTTTCACTAATAGTGAAAAGAGCTGGCAAAAATTATTTACTTTCGCGTATTCCCATTTTTATAGCGCCGCGATCTTAGCATCTTATGTGCGGAATTTCGATTTACCAATTATACCATCTGAAAGGTCAGAAATTGGTCATAAAATGTCAGTTGATCTTATTAATTGGTCTGCGTTAGAAACATTTTTAAGTTTTTCAAGGTCATTGAGAAATTTTAGCACCTTATACGCGAAAAAAATTAAAAATTCTACCTATGCGTGATCGAGAAGCATTCGCTGATAATTGGTCAGCTTATATAAATATTTGGTCACAGTTTAATTTAATATTTAAATAATTAAATAAGTTGGCATTGTCGTAACGCGCATGCTTTGGTACGGTTAATTGTATCAGGGCAGTGAGCATATATTTATCATATATCAATAACAAATAATATCAAATACTCACGTCTGCTGTTCCTTGGAGCTGTGAAAAAAATCAACCTTCTAAGCCAACGCAATCAAAAGATACAGCCGTTTATGCCGCAAATTTTCGACATTCGCAAGAGTATCAAAACCTACAGGGTACTTCCCGTGAACTCAGAATCTTGAAATTTGCTTTGTACCAAATTTCAAACAATTTTTCCTTTATCTGTGCTATAAAAATATAGCACAGATAAAGGAAAAATTGCGAAAAGCATAAATTTTTAGTTACATCATATAATAAAAATATTTTTAATAATTTTAAACTTATATACATGCGGATTATTTGTTCGAAACCCTCGGTGCGCGAGTCCGACTCGCACTTGACCGGTTTTTTTTTTAAATTTGAAATATTTTATTTACATAAAAATTACCATGAAAATTAATTTCTAAAATACATTTATTATTATTTAAGTTTTTCAACTCTTAACTTTATATTAATACTCTAAAATATAACTTTAATCTCGGCACATTACTTGATGAGGAAAACTTGTACATCGCCGTAGGTATCTTACTGGAGCTGCGATTTGTCAACCTCATCAATGTCCCTGTGGTAGCAGCGTTGACAAGTTTGAGCTCCACGGACTTTTATGTAAGAAAAGTGTTGGTAGGTTTTCACGGCACGGTTCTTTGAACGATGTCATCCGAAATCTTGTCTCTATAAATGTTCCCTCGGTTTTAGAGCCTAGTGGAATATTTAGAGACGATGGCAGGAGACCCGATGGTATGGCATTGGTCCCTTTGGGAGATAAGTAAAGCCCTAGTGTGGGATGCTATTTGCGTAGACACTTTGGCGGCCTCTCATCTCAGGGGTACTTCGTAGAGCCGGGGCGGCATCAGAGGCAGCTGAATTGAGTAGGTGGCGCAAATGTGATTCTCTGAGAGATGACTACATATCTGTGCCCTTTGCTGTAGAGACTATCGGTCCGTAGGGTCCAGGTGCGGTGAAGTTCCTAAAGGAACTCCATTTGCGATGTTCGTTGCTGCTAGTGAAAAGAAGGCTGGTTCTTTACTCGCTCAAAGGCTAAGTATAGCCATTCAGCGGGGAAACGCAGCCAGCGTTCTTCGCGCGATACCGCGGGGAGTAGGACTGTATGATAATTAAGTTAGTAATAGTAGTTTTTTTTTTGTTATTGTTTTCAATATTGTATATAATAAAATATTATAATAAACGTATTGAAGAACCAGCTTGGAAGTGACCACACATACAATTTACATGATAATAAATAAGTGATATATTTCAAATGAATCTTTAGAGTCTATAAATTTAGGCGTTTAGTAAAAACCCTTTTTACTGGAAAAGAGGCATTCCATCTTAGTTCTCACGGATGACAACGCATCTGCATTTTGATTCGCAAACATAGACACAGCAACCATTTACCATCAGGTGGACTGTGTGCTCGTTTGTCACCCTATCCTATAAAAAAAAAACAATACAAGCAAAAGTCGCAAACAAATTAAGTAATTAAGGTAATCAAGAAAATCATTGTACGTACCTCGTACACTCATGCCAAAAGTATTATTGCCCTTCTTTTGAACTGCACCTTATTCAGATAATTAGAGAGATATAAGTATTTTGTGTTTGTTTAATAATATATTAGATACACTATGGGTGTACTCAATACAATTGGTAGGTAATCACAGAGTAATTACATAACGCGTAACAATCAATTGAGTAGCAAACGCAAATAACAGCATGACACAGAAAAATACACAACGAATTAACCTTGAAAAGACTTCAGCAATAGCTAATATTATCACTGCACGCCCCGTTATTAGGGAGTTAGGTATTTTCTGGCATATACAATTACTATATATAATACCTAGTGAGTAATGTGTGGAATTAGTTAACAACATGGCGTGGGAAACGGTTGTGTGGATTGCGGCAGCGACCAGTCTGCTACCCAGCATACAGGCCACCTCGGAGATCATGAAGGACGTCACTCTTGGCTTTGGCGAAGCACTGCAACATTGCAGGGAAGAAGTGAGAATCAATTTCAGTTTTATCTGTTTTACCTTTTAACTATAAACCATTTTTTTATATAGAACTAGCTGTTCCCCGCGACTTCGCCCGCGTGTAATTTAGGGTTTTAATTGTGTTGCGCGGAACCCTAATTCTTTTCTAAAATATAAGTAGTCTAAGTTACTCCTTATGACATCAGCTATCTGCCAGTGAAAGTCCCGTCGAAATCGGTCCAGCCGTTTCGGAGATTAGCCGGAACAAACAGACAGACAGACAAACAAGAATTTTAAATATTGTGTTTTTGTTATAAGTACCGTATATACTTTCATATGCATTTAATAAAAAGCTGTTATTTTGACATTACAAACAGACACTTCAATTTTGTTTATTTATATATTGTACTAGCTGTTCCCCGCGACTTGGCCCGCGTGCTATTTTGGGGTTTTAATTTTTTTGCGCGGAACCCTAATTCTTTTTCTAAAATAAAAGTAGCCTAAGTTACTCTTTGTGACATCAGCTATCTGCCAGTGAAAATCCCGTCAAAATGGGTCCAGCCGTTTCGGAGATTATCTGGAACAAACAGACAGACAGACGGACAGACAGACAAAAACTTTAATCATTATATTTTTGTTATTAGTACCTTATATACTTTCATATGCATTTAGTAAAAACCTGTAATTTTGACATTACAAACAGACACGTCAATTTTATTTATTTGTATAGATAAGAGTGACAAACGAGCACACAGTCCACCTGATGGTAAGTGGTTGCTGTGGCCCATAGACATCTACGTCTATCTTCGTTTGCGAATTAAAATGCAGATGCGTTGTCACCTGTGAGGACTAAGATAGAATGCCGCTTTTCCAGTAAAAAGGGTCTCCGGTTCTCTACACTCACCATACGAAACACAGCAGCGTTAAGCTGCTATTTTACGCGGGTATTCTGTGAGAGCGTAGTCCTGCCCCGGTCGAGACGATCCATTCGTGCTACAACTATACTATTAATATAGCTGCTGCATGGCTCTACCACGTATAAACTTTTTTTATACATGCAAACATTCATCTACTCTACTTCATGCGAGAAATATTCAATAACTTGGATTTGCCTTAGTTGGCCTTAGTCATCACGCTTGAAAGGCGGATTAAAGATCGCTGTACCAAGTGAGTCACACCTTCGACGTCAGACTATGTATTTTTAGACAACGTAAAAAAGAAGAGGTCCTCGTCAATTGAAAATTTCAATAGTTTTTACTTCAGGAATGGTTCCATATAAGTTAAAAGAAAATGATCCACCCCTAAGTTTATACTTCAGGAGTGGTCCCATATAAGTTAAAAGAAAATGTTCCACCCCTAAGTTTATACTTCAGGAGTGGTCCCATATAAGTTAAAAGAAGATGTTCCACTCGTAAGTTTATACTTCATGAATGGTCCCATATAAGTTAAAACAAAATGTTCCACCGCTAAGTTTATTCTTCGGGAGTGGTCCCATATAAGTTAAAAGAAAATGTTCCACCCCTAAGTTTATACTTTAGGAGTGATCCCATATAAGTTAAAAGAAAATGTTCCACTCCTAAGTTTTTACTTCATGAATGGTCCCATATAAGTTAAAAGATAATGTTCCACCGCTAAGTTTATACTTCAGGAGTGGTCCCATATAAGTTAAAAGAAAATGATCCACCCCTAAGTTTGTAAGAATAGGGGATGAAGTTTTTAACGTAATTATTTTGACGACATTCTATTCTGACCTACAGTTTCAACCCAGTCAACAGTCAAAGTGGCCTATAGTTTAACTTTTAATAAAAAATAAAAGTCGACTTCAAAGAACTAAAAACAGAATAAAATAACACAAAATATTCATAGCATCTAAATAAAGTAACATACGCTATTCACATATTATAACATCTGAATTCTTTAATTGTTCTAATACCTAACTAATGTGTATTTAAATAGGAAAGAGCTAAGCTTTTCCATTGTTTTTCGTGGTTCTCGACGTAAAACTGCAGTACTGCAAACTTAGTTTAGATAGGTAAGCACCTATCTAAACTAGCACGCAGACTAAGCTCTGCAGTTTAGTCTGTGTGCTAGTTTAGATTGTGTGCTAGTTAACTAAAAAAGATTATAAATCTCACTAGTATATCACTTCAAACGTGGTAGAGCCATGCTGCAGCAATATTAATAGTATAGTTGTAGCACGAATGGGTCGGCTCGACCGGGGTAGGACCACGCTCTCACAGAATACCAGCGTAAAATAGCAGCGTAACACTGCTGTGTTTCGTATGGTGAGTGTAGAGAACCAAAGATCCGTTTTGCTGGAAAAGAAGCATTCCATCTTAGTCCTTACGGGTGACAACGCATCTGCATTATGATTCTTTATCGAGGATAGATGTAGATGTCTACGGGTCACAGTAACCACTTATCATCAGGTGGACTGTGTGCTCGTTTGTCACTCTATCCTATAAAAAAAATAGTATCGAGATAGCTAGATTAGTTTATTTCAGATACTTCCATAACATGCCTTTTAGGATTTTGCTATGGAAAATGCGGATAATTTAAAAATTATTTTTGTATTGCACACGAGAACTTTATGAGAGCCATTTTAATCTTAAACCGAAAGAGTCGCACAGAAAAAAGAAAACAAGATTATATTAACCTTGGCCTCTCAGTACATAACGAAAATTAAATTTAATATGTTTACAGAACAAAAGTACCTAGTTTTAATAAAGAGTTATATAAATTGTGTAAACACCAGGAATAAACACAAGCTAGTGATACCAGTTTCTCGACTCCACAGAGTCAGTAATTCATTCATGGATCATCAACAAAGTACCCAGAAGATATACAACATCTTCTCTATTATCAAGTCCAATTTTTTTTTACTAACTTGATAATACCCCTGGTAATGAGTAAGTGATCGCGATCAACCTGTTTCTTAAATGAATTTTGTCAGTTATTACACAATGGTTACTTTGGAAATTCTTACTAATTATTCTCAGAACAGAAATTTTTCTGAACCAGTGGTAAAAGCAAAAAATTACTTTCTACATTAAATAAAAAATATTTTGTTCTATTCTATTCTATGCTATTCTTATGCCACCATTACACGGGAACCACTTTCAATATGAAAGGTAAAAGAGTATATTAAACAACATCCGCACTATCTGGATGCATGGGCATCCACCACTTTGCGAATTATCAGGAGTTTTCTTTCTCCCACACACTTATTTGTAGAAATGACTACGATCAGCAATTTTCCCTCGCCGATACGACTTAGGGACCTTCAAAATAAGAGAACACCTGCAACTCTTGTTGTTGTAGTTGTTTATAATCGATTTCTGTAAATTGTAATAGAGCCAGCTGACTGAGGACCAGATGGAAGAGTTCTTTCACTTCTGGCGCGACGACTTCAAGTTCGAGGACCGTGAGGTGGGCTGTGCCATCCAGTGCATGAGCCGCTACTTCAACCTGCTCACCGACTCGCACCGCATACACCACGAAAACACAGACGAGTTTATTAAGTCTTTCCCAAACGGTAACTCATAACTGACTTCATTTCTTTTAATAGTATAAGGGTGACAAACGAGCACACAGTCCACCTGATGGTAAGTGGTTGCTGTGGCCCATAGACATCTACATCTACCCACGTTTGCGAATCAAAATGCAGATGCGTTGTCGCCCGTGAGGACTAAGATGGAATGCCTTTCCAGTAAAAAGGGTCTCCGGTTCTCTACACTCCCCATTCGAAACACAGCAACTTTAAGTTGCTATTTTACGCTGGTATTCTGTGAAAGCGTGGTCCTTCCCCTATCGAGCCGACCCATTCGTGCTAAAACTATACTATTAATATAGCTGCAGCATGGCTCTACCACGTATAAAATAATTCAATTTTCTTACTAAAATATCTAAGTGAAAGTACCAACCGACAGAGGGAAACTGAAAGTGGAGATGGACAGCGGCATCTACCTGAGGACAACTCAAATTAATATAAAACTGCTGCTACCAACTCGCCTGTCAAACGTGGCAACTTTGGCAAAATATCCTTATGAGAAGGTATTTAGGCGAGGCCTGTGTTCATCAGTAAACTAACGTTACGAAAAACACCAACATTGTTCTTCGGTTAAGATTATAAATTATATGCGTTGTCACCTCGATTAATAAGACTAAATGCCTGCCTCCCAAAATTGAGTACCGGTTCTTGCTACATCCTCAGCAAACTTAGCAGCATTATTTGATAAGAGCGAAATACTTTTTTATTACTAGGACAGGGGTAGTAGGAGTCACATCTACATTTATCTTCGATTAAAAATCAAAATACAGATGCATTGTCACCCCTGAGGACTGAGAGAAAATACCATTTTGTAAGACCGTTGGCCTTCCCCGGTCAAGCCGACCAATTAATATATATAACTTAAATAATAAACCTAGCAAGCTAACAGCATAGCAAAGTGGCGAAGCAATCAGCTTTGTAGCGGTTTCTAACGGTTGCCGTTGAGCAATCAGTTTCAAAATAGGAGGTTGAGGGAGATGCCTGGGTGATCAGTAATCGATTGCTGAAAACAGAATTTGAAAATTCGAAACCGTTCTCGAGATAATCGTGGGACATCGTGAAATCAATAAGTGACTTCGCAAGCTTCGCCACTTAATAATATAGCTGCAGCATGGCTCTACCACGTAAAAATATTCTTGTTACATTCTTTCCGGCAGGCGAACAGCTCTCCAAACAAATGATTGAAATAATCCACTCATGCGAGAAAGTGCACGACGCGGAACCGGACCACTGCTGGCGCATCCTGCGCGTCGCCGAGTGCTTCAAGGCCAGCTGCCAGGAGCGCAACATCGCGCCCACCATGGAAATGCTGATGGCTGAGCTGATCATGGAGTCAATTGCACGATGAATGCCCATTAACTACGTGGATATTTCACACACTTTACTTTTAACATATTACAATTGCCTTCCTTTTTCTCTCTTTATCCACAATTTCTATTTAAATAGATGATTATTAGGCGCAAGATTCGGATTATTAAGTTTATACGGCAGTTAAATATCTCACTCGACTATAATTATTATCTAAGATCTATTCCTTAGACCTAGGTTATACTTATTGTGAAATCGATAATCTGATAAAATAAATAATAATTGAGTTTTGATGATTATCTCATAAAGTATAAGTGATATAAAAATTTCGAACAAAACTTTCCTGGTTTCCAATTTTACACAAAACTGTTCTAATACTTAATCATACAAAATCGTTTTTTTTTTTACAAAAAGCTGTCTATTATAGTCATGATAAGGTAATAGCATTTTTTTTACTTGAAATTAATACTTAGGTTTTCAATTTTAATTTCAAACATTTTCACATATTGCACATAGTTTTCTAGATAATAGCAAAAATCTGAGTTTAGTTTTTCGATAAAAGAACTACTTGCCTAAAGACCACTATTAATGATTTGCAGGTTGTTTTTTGCTTCCTCATCTTCATCATATCCAAAGGTATGATTGTAATAGGTATTGTATTTTGTAGTATTTGATTTCTAAAACTTTGGTTTTAAGATCTAGCAATATGTACTCGTATAAATAACTGTTTTATTATGTACTTCTAACTGTTTTATAATGTGATTTCTTGGTAGTTTTGTAGTTGGAGTTCGATTAATAACTGTGTTTAATGATACCTGTTTTAACTACAATATCTTTGTGTTGTTATATGACTTTAAACCTTATAATAATAACTTTAAACCTTGTGTCACTAACTTAGATTAGGTTTAATGAAGATTTGACTCCGACGACTATAGCGGCTGACATTCAATGGTTATTTTGTAATTATACATAAAACACAAAATTATAATTTCAATTATAAAATGACACTGATGCTTTTTTTTTGCTTTAGTTTTATTTTAAAGACAACCTAATAAGTAAGTATCCCAAGTCATTCTATAGGTGGGTAACCGAAACGGAAGACGGACAGCGGCATTTTTCTGAAAACAACTATATATATATATATATATATATATATATATATATATATATATATATATATATATATAATTTTAATAATGAAAATAAAAAACTGTGGTTGCCCACCCGCCCGCCAAGCGTGGCAGCTATGGAACATATCCCCCCTATGAGACAATATATGGAGGAGGCCCATGTTCAGCAGTAATTATTTACTATAATAGAATGGATGCAATACTTTTTATTTTTGAAAGATTTTTTATTTGGAAAAGTATAACAGATGTAAGTATACATAAATCCCGGGCATGCAATGCCATAGTAAGTCCGATGTACTTATAAAATCAAGTATTTATCACACATTGATATTTCTGTAGAAACTTATTTAAATATATAATATAATATCCTAAGTAAAAATCAATTAAAATTATACTTTACTTTTATACATAAACTAGCTGTTCCCCGCGACGTCGTCCGCATGCAATTTAGGGTTTTAATTATGTTGCGCGGAACCCTAATTCTTTTTGTAAAATATAAGTAGCCTAAGTTACTCCTTATAACATCAGCTATCTGCCAGTGAAACCCGTCGAAATCGGTCCAACCGTTTCGGAGATTAGCCGGGACAAACATTGCGTTTTCGTTATTAGTACTGTATATTAGATATTAGCTGTTCCCCGCGACTTCGCGCGCGCGTAATTTATTACGGTTGGATTTCATGGGTTTTAACTTTTTGCGCGGAACCCTAATTCTTTATCTAAAATAAAAGTAGCGAAGTTACTTTTTATAACATCAGCTATCTGCCAGTGGTAGAGCCAAGCTGCAGCTATATTTCTGGCATAATTGTAACACGAATGGGTCAGCTCGACCGGGGAAGGACCACGCTCTCACAGAATACCAGCTTAAAGTAAGTTTGTGTGGTGAGTGTAGAGAACCGGAGACCATTTTTACTGGAAACCGATGCATTCCATCTTAGTCCTCACGGGTGACAACACATCTGCATTTTGATTCGTAATTGAGGATAAATGTAGATGTTTATGGGCCACAGCAACCACTTACCATCAGGTGGACTGTGTGCTCGTTTGTCACCCTATCCTATAAAAAAAATTAAATAAAGTGAAAGTCCGGTGAAAATCAGTCCAGCCGTTTCGGAGATTAGCCGGAACAAACAAAAAAAAAGACAGACAGACTGACAGAAAGACAGACAGACAAACATTTTAAAAATCGTGTTTTTGTTATAAGTACCGTATACACTTTCATATGCTATATGCATGTTTTTTCCACATTACAAACAGACACTTCAATTTTACTTATTTTGTATATTACAAACAGACACTTCAATTTTACTTATTTTGTATATTATAAACAGACACTTCAATGTTATTTATTAGATAATGAATAATTTGAAGCTTAAGTCTAAATTTCAACGTTTTAAATGCGAGGGGATGTAGCTCAGTGGTAGAGCGTTCGCTTTGCATGTGAAAGGCCCCGGGTTCGATCCCCGGCATCTCCAAAGTTTTGGACATGTAAACAAAATGATATTTATTTTTGAAAAATTTATTTTAATATCTTATTCTAATAAAATGAAAAAATAGAAATTTTGACTTTACTATAAGCATTAGCAGCCTACAAAATATTTTGTTGATAATTATACTACGGATTAGTAAGCTGAAGTGGCAGTGGGCCGGCCATATAGCTCGAAGAACCGACAACCGATGGGGAAGAAAGGTTCTCGAGTGGCAGCCTCGTGCCGGTAGGCGAAGTGTAGGGCGTCCCCCCACGAGATGGAGTGACGACCTGGTAAGACATGCAGGAAGTCGATGGATGCAGGTGGCTCAGGACCGTGTTTTGTGGCATTCTTTGGGGGAGGCCTATGTTCAGCAGTGGACTTGTGAAGGGCTGTAATGATGATGATGAATGATGATACTGTTATAATAAAAACTTGCCAAGTAACCAATTATCATATTTACAAAGCGCTACATTTTATAATACAGAATACCTAATAAAATGTAAAAACGAATACTAAAACCTAACTAATGTAGAATATTCATTACAACAAAAAACTAAAAACAAAAATAATCATGCAGACATTCCCAACGGTATTTTTTATATATAGAATATCAGCCACCAAAAAGAAAACTTTGACCCCGACGTGATTTGAACACGCAACCTTCTGATCTGGAGTCAGACGCGCTACCGTTGCGCCACGGAGTCGTTGTTGGAATCGGTAAATTTAAGAAACATTTACTTTCTTTACTATAATACTGTCATTCATAGGGGGATATTGACAGTATTATAGTAAAGAAAGTAAATGTTTCAACTCGGTTGGGCAGCGTTCGGGAAATTACGGCGCATCTTCTCGTCAGGTATACCTCAAACCTTGAAAACGAGACTGTACACCCAGTGCGTGTTGCCAGTGATGACATACGGAACTGAGACGTGGTCCTTCACTGCTGGCCGGATGAGGAAGCTCAAGGTCGCTCAGCGAGCTATGGAGAGGGCTATGCTCGGAGTTTCTCTGCGTGATAAACTTAGAAATGAGGATATCCGCAGTAGAACCAGAGTAACCGACATAGCCCAACGGATTAGTAAGCTGAAGTGGCAATGGGCCGGCCATATAGCTCGAAGAACCGACAACCGATGGGGAAGAAAGGTTCTCGAGTGGCAGCCTCGTACCGGTAGGCGAAGTGTAGGGCGTCCCCCCACGAGATGGAGTGACGACCTGGTAAGACATGCAGGAAGTCGATGGATGCAGGTGGCTCAGGACCGTGCTTTGTGGCATTCTTTGGGGGAGGCCTATGTTCAGCAGTGGACTTGTGAAGGGCTGTAATGATGATGATGATGACTATAATACTTAAAATAAATTGTTTTTATTTATAACTTTATAATAACTCCTATGAATAAATCTTTCAAAATACATATTTTTTTATATATTATATAAAAAAATTGCAACAAATTTTCAAAACTTACATTACAAACTAAGTATAATTATAAACATTTGACAATATCGCCATCTGTTGTCAAGTAATTGAACTACATTGTCACATCCCACACATCAGATTTTCTTGTAAACGGCAGACTTATTGAGCATTCTAATTTCTAACCTACTGTAAGTACTAGGTACTAATAAAAATGCAAATTCAATAAATTAAAAAATTAAATGAAATGAAAATATTTTAGAGTGAAAGCGGCGTAAGAGAATTTATCATCCCATTCCGAGAAAGGTGACCATGGGAATGGCCGGAAAGAAAGAATGGCCGGAAAGAAATGTCGTAATCTCCGATAGATGGCGGTAAACCACATAGTAGTATATTACGGCAGTTTTAAATCGGGCTAATAATATCAGATGTCGGTAGTTGGGAATAAGGTAAACTTATTAATTACGCACTAGCTGTTCCCCGCGACTTCGCTCGCGTGTTAGGGTTTTTATTTTTTCACGCGGAACCCTAATTATTTTTTTAAAATAAAAGTAGCCTAAGTTACTCCTTTTGACATCAGCTATCTGCCAGCCAAAGTCCCGTCAAAATCGGTCCAGCCGTTTCGGAGATTAACCGGAACAAACCGACAGACAGATAGACAGACAAAACTTTAAAAAATTGTATTTTAGTTATAAGTACCGTATTTACTTTCATATGCATTCAGTAAAAAGCTGTCATTTTGACATTACAAACAGACACTTCAATTTTATTTATTTTTGCTTAAGAGCCAGTGAGCGGCAGACTTACGGTATTTCAATAAGCTTCACTTTTTTTCAGTTAATCCTCTATACCTGAGGTACATGAAACAGGGACTCTTTAGTTTGACCGGCGGTCAATATAGACGCTCAGGTGTTAAAGGTATAAAAAAATGACCCAAAAAAACGTCATAGCAATAAGTCTGCCGCTTTCACTCAATAAATCACCACGTTTCTCATGAATTTTGAAATATTTATGAGTCTTTCATTATTTCTTG